GAGGGCAGCGGCTCATTGTCTTGCACCAGCCTGTCAGGTGACTGAGGGCAGCAGCTCGTTCTCTTGCACCAGGCTGTCAGGTGACTGAGGGCAGCAGCTCGTTCTCTTGCACCAGGCTGTCAGGTGACTGAGGGCAGCAGCTCGTCCTCTTGTACCAGCCTGTCAGGTGACTGAGGGCAGCGGCTCGTTCTCTTGTACCAGCCTGTCAGGCGACTGAGGGCAGCGGCTCGTTCCTCAGAGCATTCTGGGGAATGTGATCCGGACTGGCTTCTCTCTCACACTCCCATCCTCCTTCCCTCTCCCCCCCAGGCCGAGCGTGTTCAAGTGGGAGAGGAAGGAGGGGGAGCTGCCCCTCCTCTCCAAGCAAGATGGCAGCTACCTGTACTTCGAGTTGCTCAACAAGTCTGACAACGGCCTGTACCACTGCGAGGCCGACAACGGGATCGGCAAAGGGGAGGCCGAGTACCAGCTGTCCGTCCTGGGTAAGCGCACCGCAGCCCGGTCCCTTCCCTCCCGGAGCCAAGGAGCTCCTCCCAGTCCCCGTCTTCCCCCAGCCAGGAAGAGGGAAGGCGGCCCCTCTGTGGCGACGGAGAGAGGAGATCGCGATGGGGGCAGGGCTTGAGTCAAGTATCGCACATCTCCAAAGGCTCCCTTTTGTTTTTGTAGGGCTGCTGATTATTGACGGCCCGCTGTTACGTCTCACTGTTTTGTTTCCACGCCGCGTGACAGACGTGCATACGTGTTCGCGTGTACTGTACATGCGGGCCTGGCGTTGGGGACAATATATTTAGGTCAGGTGACTGCACAGGCGGTTTGGGCCCATGCAGCTGCAGGCGCAGTTTCCGCGCGCACAGCCGCAGGCGGGATCGCGGGCTGTCCGCGTGGCAGGACGCGTCCACATGCACGGTCGAGCGCAACGCCTCAACAAGCGGGGCAGGGCCGTGTTTTCAGCTGGGAATCCAGGACCGATTCCAAAGGGCTCCCGCCGAGGCGGGGCTGCTCCGAGTGCTGGGGTCCCCCCCCCTGCGCCGGCACGGTCCGGGGCGAGCCGAGATGCGTGGGGGGGACGGGGGCGGAGGCTGGCCCCCCGTGGGGGCGGAGAGAGAGAGAGGAAGGGGCGCAGGCGCGCGCCTCTCCGCGCTGGTTTTGTGTGTTTTTCAGTTCCCGCGCTCTTCTGCGCTGGCGTTGCTTCCGATGTCAATTTTTCTTTCTTCCCGTTTGTTTCTCTTCCTGTTTTTCGCTCACCCCCCCCCACTGCCCTCTGTTTTTTTTGCCCTCCTTCACTCTTTTCTGCACGGCCGACTGTACCCACGCACCCCCTGCTCCGTGACGCCCCCCTGCCCCCCGCTCGCCCGCGCGTTGGCCG